ATGTCGCTTTGACCCCACAGTAGATTGCTGTTAAAGGCTGAGATCTCGCATGAATGAATGCAAGATCTTTTTTTTTTTTTTTTTGGTCTTCCCACGTGATTTTGGTGAGTGATGAATTTAGGTTGGAAATAATTTACTTTCAGAATTCTGAAGACCTCGCCATTGTTTTTGGCTTGTGATCCTTTTGAGAATTTCGAGGATATTCTGATTCCTGATCCTAATGTTTTTTGCTTTTTTTGGAATTTTGTATCTCTTGTATTCTGAAATTTCATGAGGGTGTGACTTGGTGTAAATGTATTTTTGTGCGTTTTCCTGGACATTCATTGTTCCAGCCAGATCTGCAAAATTATGTTTGTTGGTTATGGGAAATTCTTTTGAATTATTTCATTGATCATTATATTAGTCTGCTAGGGCTACCATAAAAAAATACCAGAGGCTGGGTGGTTTAAACAACAGAAATTTATTTTCTCACAGTTCTGAAGCGTAAGAAGTCCAAGATCCAGGTGCTATCAAGGTTGGCTTCTCATGAGATTTCTTCCTGGCTTGTAGACCGGCCTTTTCACTATGTCCTTACAAGGCTTTTCTGTAAGGAGAGTAGTCTATCTCCTCCTGCTCCGCTTCTGAGGACATCAGTCCAATTGGATTAAGGCCCCACTCTTATGACACCTCCTAAAAGCCCTTTCTCCAAATTCAGTCACATTGGGAGTTAGAGCTTCAAGATGGATGTGGAGAGGGGGAAACAATTTATTCTATAACAGTGGTTTCCTCTCCTTCCTTTTTCTTTCTGAAAATTTTATTTCTGCTAGTCTATTTGTATATCAGACTACTCCTTCAGTATTTGTTTTTCTCCTGTATTTTTCATTTCCTACTCTGTTTGCTCTATATGAGAGGTTTACTTTATTTCCTGAGCCTTCTGTTGAATTTTTCATTTTTGCAAGCAAGATTTTGATTTCCCAAGAACTCTTTGTTCTCTTAAAAATTTTTTTTAATAAGGAGCATTCTGTGCTAGTTTCATAGATACATTTTCTTCTCTAATTTCTTTTTTTTTTTTTTTCAACGTTTATTTATTTTTGGGACAGAGAGAGACAGAGCATGAACGGGGGAGGGGCAGAGAGAGAGGGAGACACAGAATCGGAAACAGGCTCCAGGCTCTGAGCCATCAGCCCAGAGCCCGACGCGGGGCTCGAACTCCCGGACCGCGAGATCGTGACCTGGCTGAAGTCCGACGCTTAACCGACTGCGCCACCCAGGCGCCCCATAATTTCTGAGACTATAAAATGTCTTTTTGTTTTGTTTTTGTCTTTTTTTTTTCCCCCTTGTTTCTTGTTTGTTCTTGGAGACTCTCTTCTAAATTGGTCTAAGTTTTATGTTGGAGGTTTGCTTCAGGTGTCAGTAATCCTTGGATGTTATCGTGAGATTGAAAGCTTGAATTAATGGGGACTTAAAGACTTTGAACTTTATTGCATGGTGGTCCAAGTGAGCCTTTTTTTTTTTTGAGAAAACCCTGAAGGTGTTTTTTTCTTAAGGGAAAACAGTTCTGTTTGAAGGCTAAAGTTTTGACTGCCTTCTTTTTTTTTGATGTAAGGGACTGGTTTCTCATTCCCCACATTTGGTAGGGTACACAGATCTTTAATTATATCTGGTGATCCTCCAGTTCAGAGTTAGGTAGCCAACCATCAGGTAGATTTGGGGAGGAAACTTCTAAGTTTTTAACCACTTCTTAGCTTTCACCCAGTCTTCCTTACTTAACTCCCTCTTTTCTTAGTTTAAGCAGTAGCAGGTGCTGCTAGTTCTTGACTCCTTTGAGGTTTCCAAGGTATAAATTGGGTTTTTCAATTACTGGGTTAGGCTTCACCTTTCTGGAATTCGCTGAGGTAGTTACCAGTTGTCTCTTTTTGGTTACAAAAATTTGTTGCTATTGTTTGCTTTCCTGTATGTTTTGCCTTCTGTGTTAATTTTCTTCAAAAAAAAATTAAGTGTTAAATCCACTATTTTGATTGAAACCTCTCAAAAACCTTATTTGTACTGCCCTAAGCTAAGAATGATTTTACATTTTTAAAGGGTTATAAGAAAAAAATATGTGACAGAGACTGTGGCTCACACAGCACAAAATATTTACTATCTGGTCCTTTAGAGAAAAGTTGGCTTACCCTGTCCCTTGTTATAGTTTCTGATTTCCTTTAATAAAGCTGTTTCTAGACTACTACTTTACTCCCACTCAAGCTTAAGTTTACAATTTTGGAACTTCCTGAAGCTGTTTATTTTAATTTAGTCTAGTGCACATCATGGAAGTTATGACTAAGAATTGGTAGGTTCTACTCAATTATCAGAGATGTGGGATAATTGTAATGTAAAATCTCAAGGAGTAGGATAGCAAAATATTGAAGAAATAAGTCATGGAACATGCAATATATACATAGAAACATTGTTCTTTGTCTTTGTCACTTAAGTGCAGAATTTAGGCACCAGTACTTTTAGTAATGGGAAGAGGGACAGTTGTCATAATGACAATAGGCTCAAGTCTTATTTTAAATGAGCCCTGTTCGGGGCGCCTGGGTGGCTCAGTCGGTTAAGCCGCCGACTTCAGCTCAGGTCACGATCTCGCGGTCCGTGAGTTCAAGTCCCACATTGGGCTCTGTGCTGACAGCTCAGAGCCTGGAGCCTGTTTCAGATTCTGTATCTCCCTCTCTCTGACCCTCCCCTGTTCATGCTGTGTCTCTCTCTGTCTCAAAAATAAATAAACGTTAAAAAAAAATTAAAAAAAAAAAAAGAGCCCTGTTCATCAGCCGTCTCTAGTTGGTAAATCATAACTGGCAGAATAGTTTTGGCTCTAGGCAAGAGGCTGTTCTAGGCAGTAATATATATACACATATAAGTGTGTGTGTGTGTGTGTGTATGTGTGTATATATATATATATATACATATACATACACATATATATATACATATATATATGTATTTTTCTACCTGATGCCAGAAATGAGAGGGAGACTTCATTTGAGCCACACGTCAAAATGGGAGAAACAGGATTACATTGTTGTAGGAAAAAAAAAAGTTTTTTTCTCTAAGTTCCACTGCCAAAAAACTCAATTATGTTTAGTCTTAATTGGTTTTTATATTTTAAAATTTTAACATTTTTTGAGAGACAGAGAGAGCGAGAGACAGCGAGAGAGCAAGCGTGGGGGAGGGGCAGAGAGAGAAGGAGACACAGAATTGGAAGCAGGCTCCAGGCTTCAGGCTGTCAGCGCAGAGCCCAGTGTGGGGCTTGAACTCACCAACTGTGAGATCATGACCTGAGCTGAAGTCAGACGCTTAACCTACTGAGCCACCTGGCACCCCTGTTTAGTCTTAATTGTATGAGCAGTCTCATCACAGATTGCTTGTATAATTATCTTTAATTCCTATAAATGGTATCTTGTTTTAGTATTTGTCACTGTTATTTTTTGTATGTTCCAGAATTATTTCTGTGAATATACAAACTCATGCTCACTTTTAAAAAATACGCTCATATTCTACATCTTATTTTCTAATTTAGAGATTCTGGAGTCAGCCTAAATTCCACTGTAGGCTTCATCACTGTTTGTTTGGGGTTAGACCTCTATAAGCCTCATTTTTTTCTCCTCTGTAATACGGGATGATACCTAATCAAAGGATTATTATAAGGATTATTATAAATGCAAATTCATTTCCAGGTTCCACTTGATTGCTAAGTAGTGTTTTGTGCGACTGCTCAAGGGTATGGGTTTCTTTCTGGTGGGGTAAAAATGTTCTAAAATTTATTGTGTTGATGGTTGCACAACTCTGAATATATTAAAAACCATTAAATTGTACACTTTAAATGGGTTATTGTATAGTATGTGAGTTATATCTCAGTAAGGTATTACCAAAAAAAGGAAAAAAAGCTGCTCAAACTTAGATCGCTTCATCAGTTTGTATAGCTAAGTGCCTGTCCTCTTCCTGCTTCAGCAGGAGATTGAAGATTTATCCTCTGTAAAGGACAAAATAGTGTCTCTGAGAGAGGGGTGGGCACTAGACATAATTGAAGATGAGGTGTCCCATGGAAAACACCTGAATTACCTGAAGTAAATGTACTCAATGTTGGGACCCTTATTAAGGCCTCTTCTCCTTTTTGGCTCCCAGAATTCTGGCTATCAGGTAGGAACTTACAGGATGCTTCTTTTAACTAGCCCCAGAGGAAAAACTGTAATTCACAATCAGCTTTTAGGGTCTTACTATTATTTATTTTACTTTATATATACACATATATATACATATAATAAACATATTGAACAAGTACCAAATGTAAACTTTATGCTAAATGCTCTGTGGGATGTCAAAGAAATAGAAGACCCATGATTTGTAAGAGTTCATAATCTAGCTTTAATTAAAGAACAGTCCTAAGAAATACATTGACAAAGACAAGTTTAAGAAACATCTTACCAGAAGTTCTCAGTAAATAATTGGGGTTGATGGAAGGCAAGTGAGGCCAAATCAGTCAGGTAAGTATAATCAATAAAGGAATGATGTTCCGTATATTAATAAATTTTCTCTTAAACACCTGCTGAATATCTAGGCTGGTGTACCCATATGTACAATGAGGACTTCTGCATTTTCCATGAATTTTTTTTATCTTGGAAGTTAACAAATCTTTCATAACCCGGGGGGGTCATCCCTGCCAATTTATCACTTAAAATACATGACTCAAGCACTCCAAAAACACTCCTTGACCCCTGAATTCTATTTGTCTTACATCTGGCTAAATAAACGATCCTTCTGCTGTAGTAGCAAGCAATAATCAACTATGACAGGCATCCTGTCCTGAAAATGCTGCTCCATCACTTAGATTTTTCCCTGGTCTGGACACTCTTTCAGAGCTCTTTCTACATAGTGGGATAGATTTCTACCATCTTATCTGGAACGATAGCCTTTCACTTACTGGTATCCCCTGATAATCCCACAACTCTTTTCGTTTTCCTTCACAGAAAGACCATGCAAGAGCTTAAGACTTCTGTAAGACAGTCTTGTTTCAGGAGATGACCCAGTCTCTCCAGCTTATCGTCACATAAACAGATTTTGTCTCCAAATGAAAGATTTGACCACCATAGCTACTGGTAGATTGATAACAAGCCTTCTCCAACCAAAGCCAGTGCCTGGCTGACATTTCCTGTGGTAGCTGGTGATTTGAAATGGCTGCTGTTAACAGACCAACTGAACTTTTGAGATCTCCACTGTTTCCAATTCCTCTTGAGTCTGCTGGTCAATCAACTTGTCTGTTCAACTTGTCTGTTCAAGAGTACAGCTGTGCATGAATTTATCCAAGTAAGGTTGATGAAATCATAGTATAGGTGAAGATTTTTTTTGCTTATTAGTAACATATCTTGCTCCAGTTTCATCTCTTAACCAATAGAAAATGAACAACATCTCCTCTGCAGAAGGCAAGCATGGGATTCACATAATTATGCACTGCCACAAAATGTCAGGCCAGCTATGGAACACTGGAAGAATACATCCATCCATAAGGAAAAGTCATCCACACTTTCAGGGATTGTTTCAATCCAATGACCAGTATCTTTGTTAAGAATGCCATGGCCATGGGGCACATGGGTGGCTTAGTCAGTTGAACGTCCAACTTCAGCTCAGGTCATGATCTCATGGTTTGAAAGTTCGAGCCCTGTGTCGGGCTCTGTGCTGACAGCTTAGAGCCTGGAGACTGCTTTGCATTCTGTGCCTCCCTCTTTCTCTGCCCCTCCCTGCTTGTGCTCTCTTTCAAAAGTAAATAAACATTAAAAAATTTTTTTAAGAAAAGAATGCCATGGCCGATAAGGAAAAAACTGTGAGATGAGCTGGATCTTTCAACTTAGGCTTAGAATGGAGAGGCTCAATACAGCAAACTTCACCCTTGGAACCACTTAAAAGACACCTAGACTCACATGTTCTTTTTCCCATTGCTCTTTAATGTCAATGCAAAAACAGCCTCTGCTGTCATTATAGATTGCAAGAGTTGGATCATCTATAAACTTAATATGCAATATTGCTATTCCTGGAGGATGAACATCTGTTAATTGATCTTAGAAGTTTTCCATTGGCCAAATCCCACGTCATGGTAGGTCCTTTAGCAAAGCCACAGAGAAGTCTTGAGTAATCGTTGTTGATACTGAGGGCAGAGATGGTTCCATACTGTCCTAAAACACTAGTGCTTCCTAGTTGCAAAGCTTGATTCTGATCACATATTAAGCCAATTCATGAGATGTGCTGCTATTAGATTGGACACTAATTGCTGTAGGCAAGCCAGCATCCAGTTTGTTAGCTACAGACCCTATCTGGGCAGAAATTCCCTTCAGTAGTGAATGTTGCCTAATCCAAGGAGTGAAAAAGAATCAGGTAATTTCTTCTTCATTTTTAAGTTTGTCTTGTCACCACTATCTGAACTTGCTACAGATGAAGTATCATAGGAGTGAGAATCAGTAGTATCAATGTTTAACAATGTAAGATCCTCAAGAATAAAAGACTCCTCTTCATCATCAGTCTTACTGATTATGCTTTCCAATGTTGGAGGAGTATCAGCTGTAAGGGATATCAAACTCCTTGTCATCAATCAGATTATTTTTTTTAAGTTTATTTATTTTGGGGGAGAGAGAATGTACTTGTAGTTGGGGGAGGGGTAGAGAGAGATTCCCAAGCAGGGATTCACTGTCAGCATGGACTCTCATGCAGGGCTCAGTCTCATGAACCATGAGATCATGACCTGAGCTGAAATCAAGAGTTGGATGCCTGACTGAGCCACCCAGCTGCCCCAGTCACATCATTTTTAAACTCCAGTTCCTTGTCTAGATCCATGTAAGAGAATTTTGAAACTGAAGGTTCAAGATTGAAAGACTTACTCAGCTCTTCTTCAGTAGTCCTGGCACAGAGGCTCTGTTAGACATTTTTGTGGTCTGGTTCATTTTTCATATTTACTCTTTTTTTTCTTTTTTTTTTTTTTTTAAATTTTTTTTTTCAACGTTTATTTATTTTTGGGACAGAGAGAGACAGAGCATGAATGGGGGAGGGGCAGAGAGAGAGGGAGACACAGAATCGGAAACAGGCTCCAGGCTCTGAGCCATCAGCCCAGAGCCTGACGCGGGGCTCGAACTCCCGGACCGCGAGATCGTGACCTGGCTGAAGTCCGACGCTTAACCGACTGCGCCACCCAGGCGCCCCACTCTTTTTTTTCTTTAAACGAGAACAAATCTACGCCTTTATTTTTTGGGAAATGTAAATCCTTGAGGGGTATAGTATCATTTGGATCCTGTGGCCAATGGCTTTAGCAGGAAGGTTGCTTCAGAATTTGGCATGAACCATGCCAGTGTTGCTGTGAGCACGTTATTTTTCCACAGATTACTCTGGTTTTGTTCAGTTTGCCATTAAGAGTCACTCTGTTTTTTGCTTTGTACATTAAGCACATCTCTTGCCTAGATAGAATTCAGTTTCATCTCGAGCATAAACACCTTCAATTTTAAGAAGAGCTGTGTGTTCCCTCTGCTTTCAGAGAACCTGCTTATGGCCAGCAAAAATGGCCTTAGACCACAGCCTTCCAGATATATTTGTCGTTTTAGGAGTCCCATTCCCAGCAGGCCTCCACAGGTTCTAAAATGATGGAAAGAGCCCATTATTAACTTTTAATAATTATAATTCACTCAACCCAAGCAAATTTTTACTTGGTTTTGTTTTGATTTTTGGCTTTAGGTCATGATGACCTGAATGATGATCTCTACTTGCAACCATTCCAGCCCAGGACCTTTTCTTTCTTTCTTTCTTTCTTTCTTTCTTTCTTTCTTTCTTTCTTTCTTTCTTTCTTTCTTTCTTTCTTTCTTTTATTTCATTTATTTCATTTATTTCATTTATTCACTTATTCATTTCTTTTAAAGTAATTTCTATGCTAAACATGGGGCTCAAACTCACCACCCTGAGATCAAAAGTCACATGCTCTACTGACTGAGCCAGCCAGGCTGCCTCTAGGGCCCTACTTTTAAATATGAGCAGACAGTCAAGGATCACCAGGTGCATGAAGTAAGCTTTTAACATGAGATCAATTACAAAAAAAAAAAAAAAAATTTTTTTTTTGCAACAGTCAGAACAAAAAATAATTCTTTAAAATTAGAGTGTAATAGTAAGAAAAAACAGAAGAAAGGAAGTTGAAGTAGAGATCTTTAATAAAGTAGAGGAAAATATGGAAAATAGGTTATAAAAAGAAAAAAGGTCAGTCCATGAGGTGAATTTCCGTATAACAGAAATGCCAGTGAGAAAAGAGTGGAGAAAAATTATCAGTGAAATAATGAAGAAAAATCCCCAGAGTTGAGGAACCTCATTTTACAAATTGAGAGGCCTTTTGGTACTCAGGAAAATGGATGAAAATAAATGCATACCTTCAATCTGGGACTAGTCAGGAAAATGGAGACCACATTACTTATTATAACAGAATTTAAAGAGTTGTTTAGCTATATTATGGGTTGAATAGTGTCACCTCAAAAAGATATGTTGAAGTCCTAGTCCTTCAGCATCCCAGAATGTGACCTTATTTGGAAATACAGACTTTACAGAGGTAAATCAAGTTAAAATGAGGTGAGTGGAGTGTGCCCTAATCCAATATGATTGGCATTCTTTAATAACAGTGGAGGAATTTAGACAAATTTGGATGAAGACAGGCATAGAGAGAACATGGCCATCTACAGGCCAAGGAATGCTTGAGGCTACCACAAGCTAGGAGAGAGTCCTAGAACAAATCCTTACCTAGTTACCTAGAACATTGCCAGTACCTTGATTTTGGACTTCTGGCCTCCACAACTGTGAGATGGATATTTGTGTAAGCCAACCTAGTTTGTGTTTCTTTGTTATAGCAGCCCTCAAAAACCAATACACTAGATAACTGGAGAACTGAAAAGACACTAAGGGAATACTCAGGTATCATACAGATAGTAACTATAAGTAAATTACTAGCTTCTAGGGCTGGAAGAAGATCTTGGGATTATTAGAATTTAGAAGCATGAAGAGTGGTCTGGAGGAGCCGAAACTGAAACTTCTGAGGAGTTGCTACCTGCTCAGAAAGTAAAGGTATTTTAGGGTGGTCTGTGAATGGCAGGAAAAGTACAAAAGCAAAAAAAAATTGCTAACTGGAGCCAGTTGCTGCTTCTGGAATCATTGCTGTTGCCAGAGTGAAGTTTGTTGGTTGATGGTTGTTGGTTGATGCTGACCTGAAGGAGTATCTCCTTGTTCCCTCCTTTAGTCTTCTAGTGTCTTTCTTGTATGGAGAATACAGAGTCTGATAGGGAGTCAGCTAGCAAAGGAGACATGTGATTTATAGGGTTCCAGCCTCCCAACATTGCAGAGTAGAGAACTAGGTTTGAAGCCAGGAGCAATAACTAACTAGTACACATAGACACTGAGGTATGTCCTCATGAAAGTTTGAAGTACATAGAACAAAGAACATCCAGAGGTAGGGGAAATGAGTCATTACAGAGATTCAGTATTCTCAACTGCAGACTCACAAGCCAGAAAGTAGTGAGCAATGCTCTCAAAATCTGAGGAAATGATTTCCAAGTTAGAATTGTTTTCCCAGTCAAATTAAGCATAAGTTTAGAGTGTAGACATTTTCAGACATGCAAGGTCTCCACAAATTTCTCTTCCCTACTTCTTTTCTCAGAAAGCTAATGTGTGATTTGTTCTACCCACCAAAAGGAAGGAGAAAACCTCCATAAAAGAGAAGGTGAAAGATACAGGAAACAGGAAATCAGATTTTAGAGAGACAAAGGGAATCCTAAGGTGATAGTAAAGAGGATTCCCTGAATGCTGATTATCCAATAAAAGAGCAGTAAGTCCAGATTGTACCAGGTAAGAAGGCATTGGTAGCTGTATGACAGTGAAATTAATAGAATACCTGATGTCTGCATATTTAATTTAGGAAATTTGCAAGGAATTTGGAGTTGAATAAGTGATATCTTTCCTTTGCTTAGTTTTTTATATTGGCATTTTAGAACTTTGTTCTGGAATTACTTCCCTCTTATACTCAGTCCTGTGACTTTTAAGTAGTATCAATAGGTGGATGCTTTACAAGTTTATATCTCTAGGAAAGATCTCTACCATTTTACATTCCCGCCAACAGTGCACATTTTACATTTCCATCAACAGTGCCC